CCAGTACAGCGCGTCGTGGCCCCATAGGGAGCTCTACCGAAGCCGCCACTGGCACCGCCCGCATGCGTGGGCCACCACCCATTTCGTGGTCCCATAGGGAGCTCTACCGAGGGCCCCAGTGGCACCGCCCGCACGCGTTTCCCTCGGCCAGTACAGCGTTTCGTGGGCCCAGCGGGAACCCCAGGAAGGGGCACCGCCCGCAGGCGTCGTCCACCACCCAGTACGGTGTTTCGTGACCCCAGGAGGAGTTCCACCGAAGGCCTCATTGGTACCGCCCGCATGCGTCTCCGCCACCCCGTGCGGCACTTCCCTCACGCGTTTCGTGACCCCATAGGGCGTTCCACCGAAAGCGGCACGCACAACGCTCTATTCACAACTGCATATGGTTGGGTCCTTCGCCAAGGTATTTTTTCTTTGTGCGCTAGGTTTTGCGCCTGATGCAAGCGTTAGCGGCATATTTTTTTTTCGTGTGCATGTTGGCCTGTGGGGAAGGGTTGGCGTTATGGGCCACTCCGAGCGGGAGATGCAGTCGCGCCAGAGCAGAAACGCTTGTGTGCCGAGGTATGCGCTTGTGCGCAGTTCTTGGTGCCACAGGCGCGGTGATTCGAAAGGCGCGGCGGCAATGGTGACAGCCTGATGAAATCTGCTGCAGGCGTGCGGTAATGCCCGTTTTGCTTTTGGCCTGTTTCCAGTGATCCTCCGTGGGTTAGTGCGGGGGTGTTGGGCGACAGGCGCGCCGAGTAGGAGTCCATATCCAGAGGACATGGATCTTGGTCGCCACGCAACTTCCTCCGCCACGCAATGGATTGACATTGGTTGGCTTTTGCGACAGTGGCAGTGGCGGTTGTGACGCTTGTTTTGGGGGCGGGTGGGTGGGGCGCGGCGCAGGGCTGATCCGGGGACGAGGAATCACAGCATTTACGTCCCGCTGTCTCCTGCGGTGGTTGTTTTCTGTCCCCAAGCCTGGGACTGTGCGGCGTAATCAGGGCCAGGGTGGGTCTTGTTGTCTCACCGTCACGCCTTTTCATTTCTGGTCTGACTTGTTGTTATCTTCGCCAAGTCCTCCCCCGTCCTGTTTGCAGCACCCCGTCGCCGAGAACCGTTTCGCGGACGTGCTGTCTGTGATTGTTGCTTAATCTTTGCGTGTGTGTGTGTGTGTGTGTGTGTGTGTGTGTGTGTGTGTGTGTGTGTGTGTGTGTGTGTGTGTGTGTGTGTGTGTGTGTGTGTGTGCGTGCGTGCGGCGTGCGTGCGTGCGTGCGTGCGTGCGTGCGTGCGTGCGTGCGTGCGTGCGTGCGTGCGTGCGTGCGTGCGTGCGTGCGTGCGTGCGTGCGTGCGTGAGCGTGTGTGTGTGTGTGTGTGTGTGTGTGTGTGTGTGTGTGTGTGTGTGTGGTGTGTGTGTGGTGTGTGTGTGTGTGTGTGTGTGTGTGTGTGTGTGCGTGTGCGTGTGCGTGTGCGTGTGCGAGTGCGTGTGCGTGTGCGTGCTACCACGGCTGGTCCTCCTGGCATCACTTTGGTGGCGCAACGTTGCACTCCGGCTCAGTGGTGCTTCTCCTCCTCTCGGACGTCGACCTGGTGACGTGGCGCGTCCTCTCCCGCAGTTTGTGAGGCTGGTGTTCTCGAAGCGCCGCGGACGGCACCACCACCGGCTACTTCCTCCCGTGACTTCACCACCAGCCTTCTGTCCAAGGTGTACCTTTTCCTGCACGTCCACTTCGGCACCGACTGATCCCTGGGCTTCGCCCTCTCTCGGCCGCGTGAGTCCCCGCCTTCTTCCGCCCTTTCTCTGCTAATTAAAGCTGTGCGCGCCCCGCTTAGCTTTCAGCGGGAGAGGTTCGCTCTCGCCCCGCAGATCAAAAAGTGCGTGTGCGTGTGCGTGTGCGTGTGCGTGTGCGTGTGCGTGTGCGTGTGCGTGTGCGTGTGCGTGTGCGTGTGCGTGTGCGTGTGCGTGTGCGTGTGCGTGTGCGTGCGTGCGCGTGCGTGTGTGTGTGCGTGTGTGCGTGTGTGGATGTGTGTGGGGGGCACGGCGGTACGCCGGCCAGCAAGAGTGATTTTGGAGGAAAACGTGCGCACTTGTTTGGTCGTGCACGACTTTCGAAACAGCGAGTGGCGGTTGCCGTGTCGAACATGTTCTTTTCATTTGTTGCGCTCTTGTGGCGTTTTCGGATTTTCTTCAGGGGTGGGTGGGGTTCGGATTCCCAGTTGGTTGCCCCATGCGTATGGGTCAGCAAGCTGTCTGCCTCTGACCTTTCCTCACCCCTCTCCCCCACGTTTCGCGCGCCTTCCTTTTCACTGCTGTTTTTTACCCCTCGATCTCTCCGCCTCTTTCCCTTCCACTGCTCCCCGAACTTTCCTTTCCACTGATGGCCACCTCCAGTCACACCCTCAAGGGGTGCAACGATAACCGCTGTTTGCACTTCGTTGGCCATCGAGTTGCCCTTCCCAGAGAGGTGGCGCGAAAGCGCGGGAATAGGTGAGAAAGATGGCTCCCAGCCCTTCCTGGCTCGCTTTGGCCCCGTTGGCTCCTCCAGCGGTCTCCAGAGGCCTTTAGAAATTGCGGAGAATCCCAGGAGCTTCGGAAGCCTCTGGGCGCTCCAGACCCCAGAACCGAGATCCTCGAAGGTCCAACTTTTTTTTTGTTTTTGTTTTGTCCCCCCTTCCCCTTCCTTACCCCAAGGCTGCCGCGTCCCCTTGAGGCCAGTGCGGACCCCCCACGCGCCCACGGTGAGTCTGGGGCGGGGGCGCGCTCCGAAGGAGCGGGGGGTTTTTGGCCGAAGCCAGGGCAACCCCGAACATCCCGCCAGCTAGCCGCCCCGCCAGGGGCCTCCCGCTCAGCTGCCCCAAGCCCCTCGGCGCCCCAGGAGCGCCCGGGGCGCCCTCGGCCAGCCCCCGCCAGCCGCCGCCGCCAGCCGGCGCTTTGTGCCGCGGCGCCCGGCCCGTCGCCGGCAGTCGCCGGCCGGCCGCTCGTCGCAGCGCTGCGCCGCCGGGCCTGCCGCCGCCAGCCGGTGCCGCCGCCGCCGCCCTCGGGGCGGCGCTGGCGGCGCAGCTTTCGGCCTCCGCGCGGCCGCGCCGCCGCCGGCCGCCGCGCTTCGCCGCGGCGCCTGGCCCGTCGCCGCCTGCCGCAGGTCGGCCGCAGGCCGCCGCGCCTCGCCGCCGGTCCTGCCGCCGCCGGTCGCCGCGCCCGCCGCCGCAGGTCGCTGGGCAGAGGGTTGTGGCTTAGGAGGGCTGAAACCTCCCCCCTCTGCCCGTGCACAAACCTCCGGCGGCGCTGCGCCTCGCGGCGGTGCGTTCGCCCTCCGCGCTGCCGCGCTGCCCCAGGCCAGCGCCAGCGTCTCCTCCGCCGCCTCCGCCGCCGCCGCCGCCGCTTCCTCCTCCTCCTCTTGTGCTGCTGGCTGCTGTCGTGGTGCTGCTAGTCGCCGTGCTGCCCCTTGTCCTGGTGGTGCTGGTCGCCGTGGTGGTGCTGGTCGTGGTGGTGCTGGTCGCCGTGGTGGTGCTGGTCGCCGTGGTGGTGCTGGTCGTGGTGGTCCTCCTGGTCGTGGTGGTGCTGGTCGTGGTGGTGCTGGTCGTTGTGGTGCTGGTCGCAGTGGTGGTGCTGGTCGCCTTGGTGGTGCTGGTCGCCGTGGTAGTGCTGGTCGTGGTGGTCCTCCTGGTCGTGGTGGTGCTGGTCGCCGTGGTGGTGCGGGTCGTAGTGGTGCTGGTCGCCGTAGTGGTGCTGGTCGCCGTGGTGGTGCTGGTCGTGGTGGTCCTCCTGGTCGTGGTGGTGCTGGTCGTAGTGGTGCTGGTCGTGGTGGTGCTGGTCGCCGTGGTGGTGCTGGTCGTAGTGGTGCTGGTCGCCGTGGTGGTGCTGGTCGCCGTGGTGGTGCTGGTCGTGGTGGTTCTCCTGGTCGTGGGGCTGGTCGTGGTGGTGCTGGTCGCTGTGGTGGTGCTGATCGCCGTGGTGGTGCTGGCCGTGGACGTGGTGGTGCTCGTCGTGGTGGAAGTGGTAGTGGTCCTCTGGCCGTGGTCGCGCTGGTCGCTGTGGTGGTGGTGCTGGTCGTGCTGGCCGTGGTCGTGCTGGCCGTGGTCGTGGTGGTGCCGGTCGTGGTGGTCGTGGTGGTCGTGGTGGTCCTCCTGGCCGTGGTCGCGCTGGTCGTGGTGGTGGTCGCCGTGGTGGTGCTGGTCGTGGTGCTGGTCGTGGTGGTTCTCCTGGTCGTGGTGATGCTGGTGGTGGTGCTGGTCGCTGTGGTGGTGCGTAGTCGTGGTGCTGGTCGCCGTGGTGGTGCTGGTCATGGTGGTGCTTGTCGCCGTGGTGGTGTTGGTCGTGGTGCTCTCCTGGTCGTGGTGGTGCTGGTCGCAGTGGTGCTGGTCGCCGTGGTGATGCTGGTCGCCGTGGTGGTGCTGGTCGCCGTGGTGGTCCTCCTGGTCGTGGTGGTGCTGGTCGTGGTGGTGCTGGTCGCCGTGGTGGTGCCAGTCGCCGTGGTGGTGCTGGCCGTGGGCGTGGTGGTGCTGGTCGTGGTGGTTGTGGTCATAGTGGTCCTCTAGCCGTGGTCGTGCTGGTCGTGGTGGTGGTGGTGCTGGTCGTGCTGGCCGTGGTCGTGGTGGTCGTGGTCGCCATGGTGCTGGTCGTGGTGGTGGTCGTAGTGCTCCTCCTGGCCGTGGTCGCGCTTGTCGTGGTGCTGGCCGTGGGCGTGTTGGTGCTGGTCGTGGTGGTCCTCCTGGTCTTGGTGGTGCTGGTCGCCGTGGTGGTGCGTAGTCGCGGTGCTGGTCGTGGAGGTGGTGCTGGTTGGTGTGGTGGTGCTGGTCGCCGTGGTGGTGCTGGTCGTGGTAGTCCTCCTGGTCGTGGTGGTGCTGGCCGTGGTGGTGCTGGTCGCTGTGGTGGTGCCGGCCGCCGTGGTGGTGCTGGTCGTGGTGGTGCTGGTCGTCGTGGTGGTGCTGGTCGCCGCGGTGGCGCTGGTCGCCGTGGTGGTCCTCCGGCAGTGGTCGTGGTGGTGCTGGTCTTGGTAGTGGTGGTCGTCGTGGTGGTCCTCTGGCCGTGGTCGTGCTGGTCGTGGTGGTGGTGTGGTGGTGCTGGTCGTGCTGGCCATGGTCGCGCTGGCCGTGGTCGTGCTGGCCGCGGTCGTGGTGGTCGTGGTGGTCCTCCTGGCCGTGGTCGCGCTGGTCGTGGTGGTGGTCGCCGTGGTGGTGCTGGTCGTCGTGCTGGTCGTGGTGGTTCTCCTGGTCGTGGTGGTGCTGGTGGTGGTGCTCGTCGCTGTGGTGGTGCGTAGTCGTGGTGCTGGTCGCCGTGGTGGTGCTGGTCGCCGTAGTGGTGCTGGTCGTGGTGGTCCTCCTGGTCGTGGTGGTGCTGGCCGTGGTGGTGCTGGTCGCTGTGGTGGTGCCGGTCGCCGTGGTGGTGCTGGTCGCCGTGGTGGTGCTGGTCGTGGTAGTCCTCCTGGTCGTGGTGGTGCTGGTCGTGGTGGTGCTGGTCGCTGTGGTGGTGCCGGTCGCCGTGGTGGTGCTGGTCGTGGTGGTGCTGGTCGCCGTGGTGGTGCTGGTCGCCGTGGTGGCGCTGGTCGCCGTGGTGGTCCTCCTGGTCGTGGTGGTGCTGGTCGAGGTGGTGCTGGCCGCCGTGGTGGTGCCGGTCGCTGTAGTGGTGCCGGCCGTGGTCGTGGTGGTGCTGGTCTTGGTAGTGGTGGTCGTCGTGGTGGTCCTCTGGCCGTGGTCGTGCTGGTCGTGGTGGTGGTGGTGCTGGTCGTGCTGGCCGTGGTCGTGCTGGCCGTGGTCGTGCTGGCCGCGGTCGTGGTGGTCGTGGTGGTCCTCCTGGCCGTGGTCGCGCTGGTCGTGGTGGTGGTCGCCGTGGTGGTGCTGGTCGTGGTGCTGGTCGTGGTGGTTCTCCTGGTCGTGGTGGTGCTGGTGGTGGTGCTCGTCGCTGTGGTGGTGCGTAATCGTGGTGCTGGTCGCCGTGGTGGTGCTGGTCGCCGTAGTGGTGCTGGTCGTGGTGGTCCTCCTGGTCGTGGTGGTGCTGGCCGTGGTGGTGCTGGTCGCCGTGGTGGTGTTGGTCGTGGTAGTCCTCCTGGTCGTGGTGGTGCTGGTCGTGGTGGTGCTGGTCGCTGTGGTGGTGCCGGTCGCCGTGGTGGTGCTGGTCGTGGTGGTGCTGGTCGCCGTGGTGGTGCTGGTCGCCGTGGTCCTCCTGGTCGTGGTGGTGCTGGTCGAGGTGGTGCTGGCCGCCGTGGTGGTGCCGGTCGCTGTGGTGGTGCTGGCCGTGGTCGTGGTGGTGCTGGTCTTGGTGGTGGTGGTCGTCGTGGTGGTCCTCTGGCCGTGGTCGTGCTGGTCGTGGTGGTGGTGGTGCTGGTCGTGCTGGCAGCAGTCGTGCTGGCCGTTGTCGTGGTTGTGGTCGTGGCGGTCCTCCTGGCCGTAGTCGCGCTGGTCGTGGTGGTGGTTGCCGTGTTGGTGCTGGTCGTGGTGGTCCTCCTGGTCGTGGTGGTGCTGGGCGTGGTGGTGCTGGTCGCCGTGGTGGCCCGTAGTCGTGGTGCAGGTCGCCGTGGTGGGGCTGGTCGCCGTGGTGCTGGTCGCCGTGGTGGTGCTGGCCGTGGTGGTGCTGGTCGTGGTGGTCCTTCTCCTCCTCCTGGCCGTCGTGGTCGTCGTCGTGCTGGTGGAGGTGCTGTTCGTAGTTGTGCTGGTGGTGGTGGCGGTGGTTGTGGTGCTGTTCACAGTAGCTCTGCTGTCGGCGTTCCTGCGAGCTGCTGTGCCCCGCCCTGCCCGTGCGCGCCCCCGCGCGGGGGCCGGTGCTCTCAGGGGAGCGCCGACAGAACGTCCCTCGCCTGGGCGCGGGCCAGGGTAACGAGGAGCTTGAACGCCTCCTCGTCCCAGCGGCCGCCCGTTTCTGCTCCGGCTACGAGCAGGTAGCCCCGCCGCCAGCCCACCAGCTCAGGGCAAGTCGTTTGCTTGCGGCGCCTCGCCCGTTTCAGTGCGAGTCCTGGGCGGAGCCTCCGCGCAATCGGCCGGCCGGTGGCCCTCAGCGGGGATACGATGCAGGCGTCGATGGCGAGCTGCCTGCCGTGGTAGGCAGGGAGGCCGTTGGCCACCACCTCGATGCAGCGCCCGTCGTTGGCGGCAATGCCCGGGAGGTTCATGTCGCGCAGGAACACGTCGGTGCGGACGCGGCCTCCTGCCTCCCGGCACACCCGGGCCCACATCCGCTCGATGGGAGCGCGGCGCTTCAGCAGGCGTCCGCTGCGGGGGCAAGCTGCTCTGTGGTCGCCTCTCTCGTCCAAGTGGGCCTGGCAGGAGCGCCCGTTGCACCTGCTTGCCGTGGCGTCCAGCGGCAAGCGGGGCCGTCTCTGGAGCAGTGCCCGGAAGCGCTCTGGCGTGAACGTGCTTTCTGGCGTCGAGGGGATCAGGGCCAGGTGCCGTCCGCTGCAGCGGCCTCCCTGCGAGTCGAGCATCCACTGCTGGTCGTCTGTGAGGCTCGGGAGAACGACCTCCTCCCTGTAGCGCCGGTCTCGGGCTGCGGAGGCGTGGTACTGCCATCCGTGCTTCCACTCGCCCGGCTCTGGCTCTGTCTGTTCAGGGCGCGCGCCGCCCCAGACCTCCTGCCAAGTTGGGCACGTCGCAAAGCCGTCGCGGGCGGCGGCAGCCCTCGCGCGCTCAGCTTCCTGGAGGCACGAGGCTGTGGCGCCTGTTCCAGCGAGGGTGGCGGTGAGCTCCGTTGCTGCTGTAGGGTTTCTTTGTCGCAACATGGGGAGCGCGTCCACCCAAGACGCCCAGTACGCGCACTCGGCCGTGCGCGCGGCTGACCTGAGTCCAAGGCCTCCGAGGCCGAGCGGCAGCGAGCTCACTCGGGAGAGCCTCTCTGCTTCAGCTGGCGCGGGGTCGAGGTCGAGGAGGTCGTGTAGCGCCTCCTGCAGCCCGCGGTCGTGGGCCTCGGCGCAGGACCGCGACAGCGTCGGAGGCAGCGTTCGCAGGACGTGGTTGCACCTTGGCGCCGCGCAGTACAGCAGGAGCGCCCAAGCGCGCTGAAGGTCTGGCAGGTTGGGGAGTCCTTGTAGGAAGCTGCGCTCCTCGTCCGTCCTCTGCTGCGTCAGCCGGGCCGCGAACGCCGCGGTGCCCAGGGGCGTGCCAAGTACCTTGAGGCCGCGGTGCTCCTCAGGCGTGCCGGCGCCGCCAACCCACGCGTCTGTGCCCAACGACAAATGCCCTGCTGGTTCGAAGCCGCCCCGGTTCCACATGCGGCGCTTGCCGAGGTTCGCCTCGATCCCAGCCCACTCGCGCATGGCAGCGGTAACCGCGCGGAAAGCCTCTGTGGCGCCTTCTGGTCTGCAGACAATGTAGACGTCGTCCAAGTAGGCGATCAGCGTCTCGCCCGGCTGAAGCTGCGCGCGGGCTCTCGCCAGGGCGCCATGCTGAGCCAGGGAGTGCAGCGCCGGCATGAGCGGGTCGCCTTGCTCTCCGCCTTCTCCCTGCCTCACCTCGTGCGCGACTCCTGCATCGTCTGTCCAGAGGTATGTCGACGGCTGGCCGTAGGAGAGAGCAGGACGAATGGGACCATGGCGGAAGCCTCCGGCAGCGAGAGGAGCTTCTCGATCATGCGGTCGCGGCGCACGTGGTCGAAGGCCCCAATGCCGTCGATGCTGACGATGGTCGCCGCGGGGTCGGAGTCCGTGGCCGCTCGGAGGAAGTGGGCGGCGCTGTCTGTGCCCGCTCTCGTCGAAAGCGCGTGCTGGAACGGCGCGCAGGCGTCGTCCATCTCGGACCCATACTGCCGGGAGAGGGCCTCGCCCACGAGCCGGCGGAAGGCGTCGCCTGCAACAATGCCTCGCGCGCGGCCGTTGTCCTTCAGCAGCGCCGTCATGCGGCCTGTGCCCAGGGCGCGGGTAACGCTCGCTGGGATCTCGGCCCGCGCGTAGCGCTCCGCCACGGCAGCTTGCAGCTCGAGCGTCTCGTCTTCGTCCATGGCCAGCTTGAGCAATTCAAAGCTGGCTCCGCTCAGCGAGCTGGAAGACCCTTTCGGGGCGGAGCGGGCGCAGTCGGTCCAGATGCGGCGGTCGAGCTCGACGGGCCGAGCCGGCTGGAAGGCTCGGGCGGCAGGCGGCAAGTCGGCGGCGGGCCTCGGCGGTCGCCGGGCGGGGTCCCGCAGTTCTGCCAAAGTCTCCGCCGTGCCCGGCGCCAGCCCGCGCGAGGCGAGCAGCTGCCGCGCCTTGCTGAGGCCTCCTGCTCTGACCAGCGCCACCGCGTGTTCCAGGAGGCGCTGGCGCCTCGCCTCGGCGTCGCCCGCGCCGCGCGCTCCTCCCGGAGGCCGCTGCCCTTGCAGGCTTGGGGCCAGCAGCGCTTCCCAGGAGCCGTCCTCGAACTGCTCCAGTCGCGCTTCGAGCTCTCGCCGCCCTGGCGCTCCAGTGCTCGCGGTCCGTCGCAGCAGCATGCGCCAGATGAGAACCAGGAGCTTCCAAGCCCTCACCTTCTGCAGCCCGTCGGCGTCGCCAGGAAGGGCGTCTGCGCGCAGGACCTCCTCGAGGACCGTGTGGTAGAGTTGGCGAAGGCGGCCGCGGAGGAAAGCCGGCGGCGCCCGGATGCACGGCACCCGCCAGCGCAGTTCGGCCTCCAAGTCCACTGCGTCAAGAAGCGCCCAGGCGGCGTCGGGGAAGGCAGACTGCGCCGGGCGCCAGTTTCGTCGCCCGCCTCCGCCACTGCGCGGCGGCGCTGGCGCTTGCGGCGGCGCTGGCGCAGGCGGCGCCGCTGGCGCAGGCGGCGCGGGGCCAGCGCTGTCGGAGGCGCTGTCGCTCTGGCTGTGGCTGCCCTCTTCCTCGCTGCTCTCGTCGTCGTCGTCGTCGCTGCTCAGGTCACCTCTGCCGCCTGCTCGCCCTCTGCCTCCTCGGGCGCCTCTGCCCCCTCTGCCTCCTCCAGCGCCTCTTCGTCCTCTGCCTCCTCTTGCGCCTCTCCCTCCTCTGCCTGGTGCGGCGCCTCCCTCTCCCTCCGCCTGCGGCTTGTCCTCGGCGCCTCTTCCGCGCGCGTCTGGCGGGCCCGGTGCTCCAGGCCCTGCTGCGGGGGCGGGTCTTGGAGGCAGCCCGCGCGCAAGCCATGCCCTGTAGGCGTCAGCCTGCACCTCCACAGCGCGGATGAAGTCCCCCCCCCCGAAGATCTGCATCACGATGTCCTGGGCGATCGGCTGCACGTATCCTCTGTCGTCGGCAAGGAGCCCTACCACCGCTGGCAGCCCCAGTTGGTCCCCGCGCAGCCCGTCTCCGAGAGCCTGCGGCAGCAGGGGGCCCGCCGCGCGGAAGGCGGACACGTCGGCGCGCGGCCTCTCTCGAAGGAACGCCGCGGCGTTCTCCCACCAGTGTGCTGCAGCAGGGTGCTGTCGCCACGCGGCGCCTTCCTGCCCGTCAAGCTGGCCCGCGGCGTCCAGGAGGAGCGGCACGTACATCCAGGAGTTAAGGTAGCGGCTGGTCTCTGCAGCGTGTCGTGGAGGCGACCGGCCGCTGAACTGGGTTCGTGGGCCGTCCGCCGCCGGTGGGTCCAGGCCCCCGCCTCCTGCTCCTGTCTCTGGCGCCCCGAGCGCGGCTGTTCTCTTCTGCGATCAAAACAAAGCTTTCGAGCGCATATCCCTGCAGTGGATGGGGCAGCTGGCGAGGCGTTGGCAGCTCCCGACCTGGCTCCTGCACTCCGTGGACTGCCTCGTCGGTAACAGGAGCGTGCGCACCTGCAAAGGTAGGTGCAAAAGCAGAACAAGGAAGCTCGTACGGTCTATCGGAATGGGAGGCACCGCCTCCCCGCTCCTCTGCCTAGGATACGACCCTCTCATCAGCGCCCTGGCCGACATCACCGGGGCGGACGATCCGACTTACGTGGATGACCTCGCTGCCCTGCTGGGCGCCACCGCCCAATCACTGAGTGCCGGCATCGCCTTGCCCTGGCTCGCAAGAGCGGCGGGGCTCCTCGTCGAAGCCCACCAGTGCAGGGGCATTGCAGCCCCATCCGGTATCCACATCAGGCAGTGCCTGGACAACGCCCCGGTGGACTTCAGCGATGATGGCACCACCACAACTGTTACAGGTCTGCCTGCCGGGCTCCTCCTGGAAATGATCAGTCGCGCTGCTGGCTCCAGTATTGCGGCTCAGTGTTCTCCCTGGACCAGCCCATGCATGTGCAAATTTAAAGCGGCCCTGGTCCCCGCCAGCAACCACGATTGGTGGAGACGCACCATGGACTTCACCCCTTTCGGCTCATCCGCCGTCCGTCCCCAGTGTCCCTATCTCGGCGCCTGCGTCGTATCTAGGGCTGCCGAAGGGGAAAATCTACCGCCCAGGGGGAGAATGACAAAGGGACAACTCGACGCTCTCGTCGCCGGCACCTGGGGCAAACCCCTCCCCAAGCTACGGGACCGGGCCATGGCCCTCTCATTTTGTCGCCGTCGTCCTGACACCGTGCAAGAAAGGGCACTCAGAGCACACCTGCGGGTGGCCCTTGGTCTTGCCTCTGCCTCCTGGATCCCAGACAACATCCTCACTGGTCTGGGCATCCGCTTCCAAGTCCCTGGCTGCCCCAAATGCCCGGTTGCTACCTCGCGTGCGATCGCGGCCAGGGCGCGCGCCCTTGACGACCTGTGGGGGCCCCTACAGGCGCCGCAAAGGCGGGGAGAAGGTGGAACAATCTCGTGGAATGGGCGCGGGACTTCGCCTCTCGGGATGAGCCACGTAGGCCCGGCTCCAAGGTGCTGGCCGACGCCAGGGCCGCTGACCTCTTCAATCGCGCCTTGAGAGAGCCCCCTAGGCGCCGGGCCCGCTACTTCGGGCGCGTAGTTTACGTTGCGGCCTGGACGCAGCTCCACGGGCACGTGGTGAGCTCCTGGTTCTCCACAACCAGCCACGAGCGTAGGTGGGCTCAAACAGACGGTGCGGAATGGTCCCTTCTCGGGCACTGCGCCTCCTTCACCGAGGCGCACCACGTCCTCCGCGTTCTGGCCAACGGACTACCTGGATCCGCGCGTAGACGAAGCGTCGCTGACAGGATCCCCCACCAGTGCGGCTGCGGCAGGATGGCCAACAGAGTCTGGCTCACCGCTGGACAACGGGATCGCGGTCAGGCCTGGTGCGACTCGTGCCTCGGGCCCTGGACTGGAGAGGCCTCCCTCGGGCCCCTCCTTGGCGACGACGCTTTGCCCGAGGACTTGCGTCCACTTGCTACGGAGAGAAGAGGGCAACTCGGGCGCATCACCGTTCCCATGCGGCAAGGACTCTACGGAGCCTGCCCTCTGTGCGGCCTGGGAGAAGCCACTACTGAGCACGTGTGGGGCTGGTGCCCCGCCGCCGCCCTCGCTTGGGAAAAGACCAAAGGCCCTGATCACCCCAGAGACCTTCCCACCGCGATATTCTCCAGGGGGCCGCGCCAGAGGCTGGTCTGCCGCCTTCTACACCAGATCTCCTTTAGATACTGTGTGAACCTGGACTGTGCCCCCATCGGAGCCGTCGAAGCCGCCAGAATCATTGTCCAGGGGATCTCCGTACCAGACACCGACCTCCAGGAAGACAATGAGGAGGAAGAAGACATACAAGAAGGGCAGGCCCCTGCTGCACCGGCGGACGAAACTGCAGCCTGGGCCCCCAGGCTGCTTCCCTGTCAACTTTGCAATCCCCAAGGCCCGCACCTGCTGCGCATTCAGGGGGCCGCTGGTCCGCATCTCGGCAGACAAGCTCCACGCGCTGGAGGGGAAATCCGGCGCCTCCCTGTCGCGACCAGGATCGTGCGGAGTGGGGATCGGCTTGCCGTTCTCCAAAAGGGCGACACCAGAACGAGTTGGATGCCGCCTGGGTTGGGCTGGTTCCCCTGCCCCAGGACAGACAGGTCCCCCAGTGCCCTCTGGACCAAGAGCTACTGCCGACTCTGCGACCTGCATACCCTGGTGCTCAGAGCCAGCAGGGACATGGAAGCTGGCGAGGAGATCACCGTCAGAGACTCCCCGCTCCCCGCTGCCGATGCGGCCCAATGGCGCTTTGACCTCACCTTCGACGGGGGGGCTCGCCGAATTGGGGGAGACGACAAGGTCTCCGGGGCGGCAGCTGTCCTCTGGAAACACGACCCGCTCCGCGGCTACCCGCGCGTCGTCGCGGTTACCGTTGTTGCCCTCCCGGGCTGCGACAATGCACAGACGGCGGAGGCATCTGGGTGCAGAGCGGGACTCGCCCTGCTCCCCCACCTTGACACCGCCCTCCGAGGTTCCCGGGTGGTCGGCGACAATCTTGCCGCCATCCGGTACGGAGCCGGCACTGGCCGCTATCGCCGGCTCCATCCTGGACAGGTTCCCACCCTGGACAATGCCCAAAAACAACCAGGGCCCCCTCCGCCGTTGGCCCTCCTGCCTACCGTGCAGTGACGAAGGGCCGCCAATGCGCGCGGGCACGCGCGTCTTCCTGGCCCGCTTCTGTCCCTGGATGCGTTGGGTCTACTTCCACGGCGGTTGGCGACACTCGCGCGAGATCTGCCAGGAGCCCGTCGACGACACTGAACACATCCTAAGCGCGAAGCACTACGACATGTCGGTGGCACGGTACCAGGACGGGTGGCCAGACCCGAACGCTTTCACCACTCCTGGGAGTCTTTGGTGCATGTGCGGAGGGAACCCCTACGACGCTACCCACCAGGTGTCTGTCACGCGGTTGGCCTGGCGCGGCTGGAAACCAGTCCAGCCCTTGGTTACCCGCGACGGGGTGCGCTCGCTACCTGGCATCGCAATCCCCGAGGATGCGCTGCACGTGCCCATTACCTACCCCCTCTGGGACGATCCGTCGACATACATCTGCCCAGGAGGCACCAGGGTGGAGACGGAGAAGGTTCGTTCGCACATGATGGACAGGCTGGGCGCCGCAAGGGAGGGCTTCAGACAGCCCGAGGACGGCGACGGGAACAGGATGCGGGCGAAATCGTCCATCTGGCTACCCCCCTCACCTGGACAGGCCGCAGGCTCCTCTGGGGTACCTCCCCCTCCGCCCCCGCCGTCTCACCCTCCTCCTGCCTGGAGCCCACCCTGCCAGCAGCCAACAGTCCAGCTGGCCGTGGGCAGTGAGACGGAGATTGAAGCTCTCTCTCCGACAAGTCCAGCTGCCCTGGAATATTCACTGGCCACGCAGGCAGCCTCAGACGTCGCCAACCTGTACTCGGTTCCGCTGGACTTCCCGCACTCTAGAGTCCACCCCAATGCAGCGCTCGGGGAACTAATCAATGCCGTCCGACTCCCCTCACAATGGCCCTACTCCCTCCAGGGCCGAGGGCAAACGTTAAGGAGGATCGCCTGGGTCGAAAGCCAAGCCTCGGTCGAGACGGTAGACGACGGCAGAGGCTCCACGCGAGAGGATTTAGCCAGAAGGGGTAACTGTGCCCATCGGAGTTCGCGTCACCAGGATCGATGCCAATGCGCGCTTGGAGGACCTGGACACCTTTCGGCTGCGGAACGCCATGCACCTACCCATCGGTAAGGAATTTCTGTTGTTGGAATGGCCCTCAATGTGCAAGGTCGCGACCAGACCCCTGGAACGTGACAGAGAGAGCAGGTGGCTTTACATTTCAGTCACGGGCCCGACGGTAGACAAGATCGCTGACGTCTCAGTCTGGTGGCCTACTGCCCTGGGCGGTCACATCCATCCCAGGGATGCTCAAGCGCTAGGTCTCAGCCCTTCCGACAGGTACCCCTCAAACTGGTGCATCGTCGTCTACAACCACGGGAAGAGCGGGCAGTTTCGCGAAGACGAAACCAAGGCGAGACGCCCCCCTAGCGACGATCTCCTTTGGTATCGTGTAGATGAAGCCCCTTCTGACATCCAGTTTTGGCGGCAATGCTCGGCACTGGACCAGATCTACTACCTGCGCCAAAACCCAGCGGATCTGTTCGGCCACCAGCTTTCACCTCTGACGTACCTTCTTGCCTTTGTTCACGCCCCTCGGTCGGATCGAACCTTGGCCAACGACTTGGGACACATGCGTTCCCTGGGGCTGAGCCTCAGAGCCAGGGCGGAGGCCACCCTTGAGCGGAACGTCCCAGACGCCGACCACTTGCAAGCAGTCGAAGACGGCACGCTGCTGCAGGCACCGCCTCTCCCCCAAGGCTTACAGGCGTTCTCTGACGACGAAATCTCAGATACGACAGGCTCCGTCTTTCAGAGGGTGCGTCCTACTCCCAGCGTGGACACGCTCCACAGGATTATCGACAAGCACAGGCCGAACGGCGATGCGACCAGTGCCCTGCGTGCCACCCTGAACCACCATGCTGTTCTAGCGCACGGGCCCCCTGGAACTGGCAAGACCACCTTCTGAGTTGCCTGCCTGGACATGTGGGGTTCCTGCCTACGCCCTGGACACGCTGTCGCTTTGGCAGCAGGGTCCAACACGGCGGTCGACCAACCAGCTCTGGCAATGATCGAGGCACAACGTCAG